AGTGTCATTGCTCCTGGGTGCCGCTTGCATGCCCTTTGACAAGAGGAGCAGCTGCTCCTAAAATCACCGGCTTCTGAGCACTTAGGCCCTGCCCAGCCCTGTGCAGCTGGGTCTGTCAGAGTCTCTCGTATCATCCTCATCAGGAACAGTGGCATCCTGTGTGGGTGCCGATGATGGACGGGCCGGGTCCTGTGCTCCGCACTTTACTTACCATGTGGAGTGGCAGCCCCACAAGACCTCTCTGAAATAGCAGCTTCATCTCTGTTTTACTAATAGGAAACCGAGGCACAGAGAGTTTAAGTCACCAGCCTGGGGTCACCCAGTAAGTGGAGGGCCAGGATTAGAGCTCAGGTTACCTGATGCCAGAGCGTGCTGCCATCCCCGCTGCCCGCAGTGGGCCTGGATTGTCCGCCCGCCTGGGGCCTGGGAGTCTCCTCCTTCAGGGGCGGAGCCTGAGGTGCCAGCCCCGCCTTCTTCCCCAGCCTGCTTCCCAGAGCGTCAAGCCAGAGGGCTCTGTGGGTCCCCTTGAGTTGCTGACTTCTGCCCCCCCAGGTTTGTCCTCCTACAGACATGGGGCGCAGAAAGTCGAAACGGAAGCCACCCCCCAAAAAGAAGATGACCGGCACCCTAGAGACCCAGTTCACCTGCCCATTCTGCAACCACGAGAAGTCTTGTGACGTAAAAATGTGAGTGGGGGACGGGGCCTCCTCTCTCCTCCCAAAGTCGGGAGCCAGCTTCCCTGCCCCACCATCCTCCTTTCTGCCCCAGCCTTCCCAGGTAGGGGGATCCTCACCCAGAGACACAGACTCCTTTACTCACCAGTCCCCCCACCTCCTCCTGTTTCAGGGATCGTGCGCGCAACACCGGAGTCATCTCTTGTACCGTGTGCCTAGAGGAATTCCAGACACCCATCACATGTATCCTTGGGAAGCCGGGCTTTTTCCGGAAGGTGGGGTGGGAAGGGGGTGCTTCCTTTGGGGCACCTGGCCAGGGGCAGGGGGACTGGCCTCCAGTTTCTGCTCCTCTGGTCCTGCTGTTTGCCGTGGTGCAGGGCTGTGACTGCCCAGGGGAAGAGAGGTGCCACCTGCTGGCGTACGTAGGGTGTCGGGCGGGGACCTGGCTGACGCCGGTGAGAGGTGTGTACAGGGAAGGGGTCCAGTGCCACCAGTCGCCCTTGACCTCAGCGGCCCAGATCTGTCAGAACCAGTGGACGTGTACAGCGACTGGATAGATGCCTGCGAGGCCGCCAATCAGTAGCAATGCCGAGGACCCACTCCCCTGGCAGTGCCGCCTGCCGTGGACCTGCCCCGCTGGCTACCAGTCCAGAGACATTCCAGGGTCCAGGGTGTGGGTCCAGGGCCTTCACAGCCCTCTGCGTGTATGGAGTGGGTGTGGGTGTGAGTGTGTGTGCGGCCACAAGCGTGGCCGTGGCAGTGTGCTTGTGGGAGCGGACTGGAGGTGAGGTGGGGTTGTTGCCCCCCCGTCCCGGGAGGGGGGAGCCTGAAGTGCTTCACTTGGCTCTGAAAGCCTTTAAATTGCTTGCACCTCCTCGGAGCCAGTGTCCTGACATTCTGGGCAAGGACAAGGCCAGCAGAGGCTGCCTCAGGACCCTCCAGCCTCCTCACCCACCTCACCAGCACCTTGCCCACTTGAACTGGACTGCCCTCCCTCCTTCCCTGCCTTCCAAGGCCTGTGGCCTGAGATTCAGAGCCACGGTCCTGTAGCTCCCTTGGCTGAGCCCTGGCAGAACAGCCCCTTTTCATGTTTAGTTGCTTTTGTAGAGGAGGAGGGGCTGGGTCGGGGATATCTGTCACAGCCACAAGCCCTTAAATAAAGCAGCCGATGCAGACTCCTGCCTCTCTGTGATGTCCTGGGTTCTGGGTCAGGCCCAGGGGCTCAGTGAGGGAGAGGGGGAGACAGAGGCATTCGGAGGTGGCCTGGCAGGCCGTTGGAGATGGGGTTTGGTTAGTCCAAAATGTCCATTTTGTCCACGCAACAGGCATTCAGGGTGAAACTAGGGTAGCGCTGGGCCCAAGGAACATGGGTGAACCCACAGATGTCTGGCCAGGCATTTACAGGCACAACAAAATGGGGCCACTGGAGCCTGGGGTGGGATGGGGGGTTGGTTGGGGCAATTAGAGAAGGCTTCCTGGGGGGTGGGGGGGGCAGCCTAACAGAAGTAACATTCCAGGCCCCCCCTGTCCCTCCTGTGAGGCGGGTGCCCCGGGCTTACAGTGACGAATTGGGCCAGAGATGGGAGGTCATTGGCCCGAGGTCCCAGGGCCAAAAGGCTGCAGAGCAGGGCCTTGAACCCAGGAGGCCTGGCTTCATAGCCCAGGGTCTGCCTTCCTATGAGTCCAGGGTCCAGGCTAAGGGACCAGCTCATGGCTTCTTTTGGGGAGGAAGTGAGAACACTGTAGAAGATGAAGGGTCCATGAAAGGGACCTTTTTCCAGGGGTGATGAGGGGTCACTGAAGGCTGGAGGTGGGGCCAGATGCATGCGTGTGATACAATAAATAGTGGCCTTTGTCCCTAGTTCCTGGCACAGAGTTCCTCAAACCCTTGCAGTTTCCTGAATGATGGTGTCTTTTGTCGCTCAAAGGCGCCCCTTTTGATCACAACTGAGTTGATGCTGGTCACCAAAAGACGGCGTGATCACTGAGTGGGACCCTCAGGAACACCCACAACCTCTGAGGAAGAGAAAGGGGGGCTGCAGGTTAAGCTGTATAAAAACTTCAACACGATTTGATGAGCTCGGGCATGGTGAACCCGTGGAGCTGCTGGGACAGGGGGGCACCTGGGGAGGGCATGGGAGCTCCGCGCCCCGTCCCCACACTTTGGCCCCGGGCACCTCTTCTCCATCTGGCTGTTGCTGATTTAAATTCTTTTCTAATAAACCTGTAATCCAATAAAATACAATGTTTCTCTGAGTTCTGTGAGCCACTCTGGTAAATGAATCAAACCTGAGGAGGTGGTCGGGGGGAATCCCGGATCTATTGCTGGTCTATCAGAAGCACAGGTGACAACCTGGACTTGGCAATGGGCCTGAAAGTGGAGGGACAGTCTCATGAGACTGAGCCCTTACCCTGTGGGATCTGATGCTGTCTCTAGGTCGTGTCGGAATTGAGTGAATTGCTTGCTGGTTTTGGAAAAAATGCCTCTGAACCTGGCTGATGCTGAACACCTGCACATTGCATGGTGCCCTCGGACAGTCTTGCAGTTACGGAGGTCCCGATGCTCTTGACAGCCTGGGGGCTGATCAGCACCTGTACCCGGCCTTGAGCCTGGGCACCGGGTGACCCGTGCTTTGCGTTCTTCCTTGATATAGCAGGAAGGATGATGGAACCTTATGGGGCCATGCTGAGGCCGGAGGGGCCCAGCAGAGTACCTGGGTTTGAGTGACTCTGGGACCCACGCAGGGCAGTAAGGGGTGTGAAAAGCCAAGGGAGGGAGATGCTGAGCTGGCTGGGAGCCTGGGCCACTAGGCCCAGCCGCTGGGTCCAGCATGTGCCCCCACCCAGGCCCACCCTGCCCCTGACATGCCCCTCCCTGGTGTTCCCCCACCCCACCCCACCCCCGCCAAAGTCCTAGGCAAGGTCCCCTGGCCCAGGCAGGAGCCAGTGGGTATGGGCAGAGCCTCAGACAGGCGCCTGGGTGGGGGGTGTCCTCGGGGGTCCAGCAGAAAGGGGACTCATTCCCCTGGCTTCCAGGGCCCGCCCACCCCAGTCACACAGGCCAAGTGCTAATATGGTGCTGTTTTCCCGAGGAGGCAGGGCCCTGGGCCAGGCATGAATCCTCCTCAGCATAGCTTCCCCATGCCGGCACTGGGGGAGCAGGACCTACACTAGCCAGGCCAAGAGCGCCAGGAATCCCTTTTACAAGGCCCCAGGGGCTGTGTGCGTCTGTGCATGCGGGTCTTCCCGTGTCTGTCTCCGCAAGTCCCCATGTTCCAGCATCTCCCCTGCTACGGGGAAGGAAGGGGAGAACACTGTTCTCTAACCTCCACCGCCACCACCCCGTCCTCTCCTTGGAACTCTGCAGGTGGTGGCTTCCAGGCAGGACGGCTGGGGCCCGCATCACTCAGAGGACAGGGTCCCCTCGGAAATGTGGGGAGATTGAGGCTGTCCACACATTCCTAGGGCTCTGGCCTGGCAGGCCAGGCTCGGGAATCAGCCCTAAGAAGAGGGCAGAGAGTGAGCCGGGCGCACAGGGCAACCGCACCGGGCAGTCAGCTACTCACCGGCTCTGTGCCAGTCTTTAAAGGGCCATTGCTCTGGGCCCCCAAAGTGCCCATCCTCCTCCACTGCCTTGTCCCCTCCCACCTGCCCACAATCCACTCCAGGGCGGAAGGGGCCCAGCTGCCCACGGGGGCCTCCAGGACTCCGCTTGTCCATTCTCATACGTCAGTGCCAAATGTCATCCCCCGTCCAGAGGCACGGTTTCATGTCAGCTTCCCCATGTCCCCAGGAGGGACGTGTCTTCACCTTCCTGATGGGAAAACAGGCCTAGGGAGGGCAAGTGAGTTGCCGCAGGTCACCCAGCCAGTGCGAAGCAGAACCGTGATTCACACCCCATGTAGCCCGTCTCAGCGCTCGGGCTTTTTCACCACAACCCCAGGCTTTCCAGAGGCAGCAAGGGCCGAGCATGTGTGTGGGTATTGTGCATGCGGGCGAGGGTGTGTGTTGATGTGTCTTGAGTGGGAGCGTGTACCGCATGTGTAGATCTGTGAAAGGGGAGTGTGTGTGTGTGCGTGCACGCGCCCAAGGCTGCAGGGTATGCGCACGCCATCCACGCACAGTAGTGCGTGGTGTGTGGCTTTTGTGTGCGAGCGCGTGGCTGTCCTGGGCCCAGCCGCGCGGCCGCGGGCTCCGTGCGTGTGTCTCACGGCGTGTGTGAGCGTGTGCGCCGCCGTGTCCGTGGGAGATGGAGCAGATCCGAGCAAGGCTCTTGGCACGTGGGCCGGAGCCACGCAGGCTCTGGGACAGAGCAGCCCCGAGACGATGATTTTACAGCTGTTTATTGTGCTCCAGTGAAATAGAAAAAGAAAGTGCTTGCATTACAAACGCCGCTGTCACATCCACATTTTATGCCAGTCGCTGCAAACCAAACCGCGTGTGTCCGCTGCGCCTCTGGGCATGCAGTTTGCTCCCACTGCGGGGATGGGGTGGGGGCGGGCCGAGCCTGGGCTCTGGGGGCTTTGCTTGGGGGGACTTCTTGCCCTGCGGGGACCCACCTGTGAGGGAGTGGGGGGACAGCTGGGGTAGCTTTGCTCAGTGCGTCCTTTGGGTGCTGTTGGGCACACCCGGCTCGATGTTGGATCCTGCGGCGCTCCAGGGAGGAGGGCCCCCTTCCCCCCGACACACACGCCCCCCCCAGTCTGCCCCCCCACAACGCTAACCCTGTAGGCAGGTGCCAGGGGGCTGGAGGACGCCATGCAGGGGAGGGGGTCGGCGGGGCCAGCTCGGCCATGCCGAGAGCAGCAGCTAGCCTCCCTGGGGGGGGGGAAGGCAGGGTGGGGGGCCCAGGGCCCTAGGCAGAGTTGTAGTAGTTGTGCGCGTGGTGGTTGTGGGCGGGCTCGCCCAGCTCCGGGTACTCGGGCGTCAGGCAGTACTTGGGGTCATAGACCTGGCGTGGCAGCCCATACACTGTCATGCCCCTCTGTGAGGCCCCCTTGTTGCTGCCCATCTGCAGGCTGACGTTGAGTGTGTCGCAGTGCTCCATGCCCAGCCCTGGCTCGAAGATCTGTCGCTTGGTCCCGGGTGCAGTCATGCCGGCCTGCAGAGGGCACAGCGGTCAGACCCTGGGGACGGCGGAGGGCAGGGGCCCCACCGGCCCCACCCCACGACCCCCCACATACCTGGCTGGCTCCCTTGTTGGTGCCCATCTGCAGGCTGATGGTGGCCTGGTCCAGGGGCTGGTCCGTGCCCAGCTTGGGGTCGTAGAGGTGACGCCGGGTGCCATAGGCCGTCATGCCCTGCTGGCTGGCAAACTTGTTGGTGCCCATCTAGGAAGCCAGAAGGAGAATCATCCCAAGGGTCACAGAGCCTCTCCACAGGCACAGCAGGGGACACAGCACGTCAACGCACACTTGCATGGACCTCTAACGAGCCACTGCATCCACTCTCGGGCTCCGGACTGGAAACAAGCCCAGAGAAGGCATGTCCCATAACCTGTAAGTGGCTCAGACCACTGGCGCCTGACCTCCAGGGTTCGAGCCCCAGCCAGGCCACCTATCACCTGGGCAGCCTCGGCAGGTGAGCTAGCTTCTCCAGGGCCCCATTTCCTCATCTGCATAAAGGGTGCAATGATAACCCCTTAGGGCTGCTGGAGGAATGAGTTAGGGTATGGAAAATGGCAAGCACAGTGCCTGCCATACATGTGAGCTAAAGCCAAATATCCTGTGCCCCAAAGCCCGCAGGGACCTGGGTGCCCTCCTGGCCTCCTCGACCTCCCGGCTCAGCTCAGCAGCAAGACCCCCAGGTGAGGAAGGGCCAGTACCTGCAGCCCGATGATGTTCCGCCCTTCTCTTAGCTTCTCTGGCTCAAATTTCCGTTCCTGCTTCTCTGCATACTTCACCCCTACGTTCACCTTACTCCCTTTCGTCTTGGCCTGGGGAGGGCAAAGGGAGCAGGGGGCTGACAAGGGAGCCTCCGGGCCACATTGTCCCCTCCTGGTACCTGCTCTCCCCCTCCCACCCACACTGGGCTGGGCCCCACTCGCAGCCCAGACCCTCCAAAGCCACCCCCACCATGGGCCCACGCCCCGACCCTTCGGCCACACTCACCATGCTGGCCAGGGCCAGGAGGGTGGACTGCACCTGGGTGTGGTTGGTGTTCTCAAACAGGTCGTTGGCCTCAAAAATGTCGTGGGGCTTCACCCCATACTTGGTGATGGCCTTGATGAAGTTGCCGATGTTTTCCAGCTAGAGGGCAACAGGTGGTGGTCAGTGGAGGATGAGCAGGGTGGGGGGCTGAGGGGCTGTGGGCCAGGGGTTGAAAGAGTTAAAAACAGAGCCTGGTCTCACCTGGTGCCAATTTTGGGTCGACTCATTGACCTTCTTCACGGAGCCTGGCTGGAGCTTATTGATGAACCTACAAGGGGTCAGGGAGGGCAGTGAGAAAGGTGAGCCCCCCCTCCATACCCATGCCCAACCCAGTGGGAAAAGGGGTCAGGATGACAGCCAGTGGGCAATTTTGCCGTTCCCTACTACAACCAGCTCAGCTGATTCACCCCGCACACCCAGGCAGGACTGCGATGGCAAACTAACCTCTCAGGAGCTGGGCTCGGGTCTCTAGCAGAAAGCCCCCTCATCCCCGCCATGCAGGGGTCTCCTGCTGCGCCCCCCCCCCTCCACCTCCGCCGTCCCTGGTGACCACATTTCCATCTCCTGGCCTTTAGGGGGAGCCTGCACTGTGGAGAGCCCGCAGCTCAGGCCTCCGACTTCCCTTCTCTGGCCACACTCATCCCCTTGATCTCCTCCAGTCTCTCGCCCTTCAATGCCACTGGTACACCAAAAACTCCCCACTACTTCCCTGCAGCCAGGCCTCTCACTCCCCAATCCAGCGTCCTACCTGGCATCTTGAATCAAATGCACCCCACCCCAGACTCCAGACACCCACTTCCCCCAACTCAACTCCCTCCATCCTCCCAGGCTCAGGAAACACACCCTCCCAGGTGCTCAGGCAAAGCCCTCAGATTTGCTCTTGACTCTCCCATCCCTTTCTCCCATTCCCAAACGCAACCGCTCAGCACGTCCGCTGGCTCTGCCTTCTGGAGACATTCAGAAGCCTGTGGCTCCTTGCCACCTCCGCCCTGCTCTGAGCTGCACCTGTCTCTCTCCTGGGCTCTTGCAGGGGCCTCCTGTGGCACCCAGCTTCCACCTTGTCCCCTGCAGACCCTCGTAGCTAGAATGGCCTTTTCAAAATAATTCCAGTTACTCCCCAGCTCAAAACTGCCCCATGGTTTCCCTTCAGAATACAGATCCTAATCCTTTAGCAAAACTAAATGGCCCTACATCATCTGGCCCCCAGCTAACTTCACTTCCCATAATCTCTCCTCGCTGTTCCTTCAACACACTATGCTTGCTCCTACCCCAGGGCCTTTGCACCACTGTTTCCCCCACCCCCCCACCCCCTGCCTGGCCCACTCTTTCCTCAGATGCCCTCCCAACTCCCTCACTCACTTCATCCAAGATTCTGCTCAAATGCTACCTCTTCTGAAAGACCTCCAGACCATTCTATACAAAGCAGCAACCCCCAAAGGGATTATTTCATTGATTTGATCTCCTCAACTAGGACTCAAGCTCTGTGTGAGCTCGGAGGTAAGTCTGTTTTGTTCACTATCCCCAGTGCCTAGACCTGGCACACAGTAGGTGTTCCATAAATTCTTGGCGCATGAATGACTGAATGGGTGGGTGGTTCTGCGCTCTTTAATGCCCGAGCAACCCTGTCTGAGCTGGGACACCAAAATGTCCCCCTATTCCTTATTCCCACTGGATATGGTAGAATAAGATCCCCCCACCATGCCACCTTTCCAGCACCTAAACCTTGGTAAGGCTGCACCTTCGGGAAGCTTCCCAAGGTCACTCTTTGGCCATCACAGTCACCCTGCCCTGGGTGAGACTCAGAGATACAGACAGGACCCCACTGGGCTCAGGGCCCTATCCAGCATTAGTGTCGCTGTGGAATCTGGAACCAGGGCTTGGGAGCTGCGTGGATTTTCATTCCTCTTGGTGATTTAAGTTCTGAGAAGAGTAGAAAATCAGGGCCTACTTAAATTACTGTGGCGTGGGGCGCCTGGGTGGCTCAGTCGTTAAGCGTCTGCCTTCGGCTCGGGTCATGATCCCAGGGTCCTGGGATCGAGCCCCGCATCGGGCTCCCTGCTCCGCGGGAAGCCTGCTTCTCCCTCTCCCACTCCCGCTGCTTGTGTTCCCTCTCTCGCTGTATCTCTCTCTGTCAAATAAATAAAATCTTTAAAATAAATAAATAAATAAATAAAATAAATTACTGTGGCGTAACTCTCATGTCACCAAGCCAGTGATGAACAGCCATTGTTGCCTATTGATTTTAACTGTTCCTTGAACACACTATGCTTGGAACTCTTTCTTGGAACCTCTCTCTCTTGGAACTCTGGAGGCCATAAATAGGCCTGCCCTGTCTGCATGGTGGTTAAACCTAGATTCTGGTCATTTCTGTTGGAACAGCTTGGGACTCTGGGCGATGTGTTTTACTTAACTGAGCCTCCTTTTTCTTTCCTGTTAAATGGGTACAATGATTCTTTGCCACCGCTCTTTCAAGATCTCAGCTATAAAGTACCTAACCCAGCTCTGAGCTCATAGTTGTTTGAGGGGTTGAGGGGGTAGGGATTAATGTCCAGGTTGGGGGGCAGCCCAAGGCAGTGTAGGCTCCACTCACTCGCAAAGAATGATGCCATCTTTGAGGCCATCCATGAAGTTGTTCCCAATGCGGCGCCCTGTCACCCCCTCGATCCACTCTCGAAGCTCCTGCTCCCGCTGGTGGTCATACTTCTGGGCCAGCTGGGGGTGGGGGACACAGAGAAGGTGGTAAGGATGCAGTGGGGAGCAGAGTTAACTCTCCGGACCCAGTCGGAGGTTCCCTAAGCCCGATCTTCCTCATCCCTTCCCAACTAAGGCAATTCTGCCCCAGCATCCATGGGCGGGGGGGGGGGGCTGAAGTGGGCCAAGGGCCAGGGCCGAGGTGGCACCTGCCCAGGGGGCCATTCCGGACATTCTGAGGTTTGGCACCAGAGAATGCAGACAAGGGGGGTTTGGAGAGCAGGGTACTCAGAGCTGGGGGGCGGTGCCTGGCCTCTTGGTCCCCGCCTCCAGGCCAAACTTGGGGCTTAGCTTCCCCTGGCCTTGCCCCCCAACCCCCTGCTGGAAGCCTGGGCGCCTCAGGCAGGGGAGGAAGAACCCTAAGGAGGTGGCTCTGAGTACTGCCTTGCAGGGGACTGTTCTGTCTTGCATGTCCCTCTGCCTCAGTGTCTCTCCAGGTCCTATCCCCTGGGCTCCGGCTCTGGCTGGAGGCTCCGGGGGCTTGTCTTTGTCTTACTCCTGGCCCCACGCATGCACGGCTGTATTTCTCTCTCTCTCTCTCTCCCCATCCCCTTGCCCTCTGTCTCTCCCCAGCTCTGTCTTTCCTTGGCCCTGTCTTCCTGTCCCCATCTCTCCGTGCCTGGTTGGGGGTGGGGCTCCTGGCCCGTCCATCTCTGCCTCCCCAGTCGCTCTGGTCTCCGACTCCAGGTTCTCTGCCTCTGGTGGTGGTTGGGGGGGCTCATCTGTCTCCTCTCCCGGCCTCTCCATCCCAGTCTCCGTCTTATCTGGCCCCTGGCTCACCCTCCCCATCCATCCCTCTCAAGTCTCGGGCTCCCAGAATCTCTGTCTGCGACTCTCGCCCTCTTTCCCCACTCCCCACCCTGCCTCCTCCGTTTCTCCAGAACCCTCCGCCCCAGCCCAGTCAGGCTTCCAAGACTCTGGGGGACGGAGCTGCCCCTTCTCCTGGGGGGGGGGGGGGAGGTGGGAGGGGGCGGCCCCTCACCTGGCCCCGGCCCTGCCGCCCCCCTCCCCACCAGCCCGGCTTTATAAAGCGAACCGGCCCTTATATAGCGCGGCCCCGCGGGCCGGGCTCCCCGAGGCCGCCTTATATGGCGCTGCGGCTTCGCGCGGCTCTGGGGCCGGCGCCGGGGGGGGAGGGGGGCCGCGCTGGGATCCCGCCCGGCCCGAGAACCCGCCCCCAGCCAGCCCCCTCCTCCAGCGGCGAGGATCCCCCGGCCCAGGATCCAATCCCAGCTCCCCACTTCCTCGCTGTACGCTGGGAAAAGCCACCCCGGGCCTCAATGTTCTCCTCTGTCAAATGGGGCGCTGGGACCCCTGGCAACGCTCAGGGGAGCATTCCAGTGAGTTAGAGGTTCACTGCCCTGGAGAAGCTGAACCCCATTCCCGGGTGTGTGTGTTTCAGGGGGATGAGGCCAGGATCCTAGTTCTGCAGCTCCTTTACATAGAACCCAAGCTACTCGCCTCTCCTCTCTGAACCTCAGTTTACCCATCCATAGCATGAAGGTGATATCTGGATGTTTTCCCAGCTCAAAATTAGGAGATCCCTGCCATGTCCCTAATGCTCACTCTCTGACCTCCCCAGCTGTCTCCCTCTCCCTTCAGGATCTCCCACACTATCTGGGCCTCACTTCCCCAGAATTCCAGCTCTCAAGCACTCCCCAGTTTCTTTTTGAGATGGGGGTGTGTGTGAGGAAAATCAAATCCTTTCCCAGCGCCCCAGGAACACAAAAGGAACAGGGGGCAGGTTAACAGGAGACTCTGAACAAGGGGGGATCTTTACAAGGGACCGACCACCTCAGTTTACCTGTGGTTGCCTGCATGCCCTCCATTTTACCCGCCCCCCAACAGTAGCTGAGGGCTCTGGGATGCTCTGGTTGGGGAGTAAGGCCGTCCCTACCCTGTATCTGTCCTTTTTCCCTCTCTGGTTCCAAGTCACATGGGCTAGGCAAGAGGGGGTCCAGAGAACCCCAAGAGCGGAGCCTCTGACCTGCCAGGGTGTGTGGGCCAAGCGGGGGCCCTACCTTGTTCTTGACCTCAGCCGACAAGCCATAGGCGGGGCCCCGGTTGAAGTGAGCAGAGGACATGCCGGCTGGTGGTGGGCCGCGGTAGCAGTAACTCTGAGGACCCTCTGAGGACCCGACCGAGGCAGCTGCTAAGGCTCCGTCTGCAAACTCTTCCCTCCTCACACGTTTTTGAAGCTCTGGAGGCGGCCCGGGCCTCTTCCAAGGTCGTCCCATTGGCTGCAGGGGCCTGCCAAGGGGCGGGGCACCCCCACCTCGGCCATCCTCCCCCCTCCCCCCTCCCCCCCCCCCCCGTGATGTCAGGGCCTTGGTATTGGGAGCTGATTGTGTCATTGTTTCCACCTAGGGGGGCGGCCTGGGTTATTATTTGGGGTGGGGGGGCTTGGTCATGGGAGATGAAGATTTCCCCATCCTTGCCGGCCCTCCACTGTTCGTTGGACCTCTGGCTGGGCCTCCTGGTTTCTTTGTGTCTGTCACTGAGGCCATCTCTCCTTGTCTCTGAGGTCATCTCTCTGCAGCCCATGGTAGCTTAGTGAGCACCACCCTGGGTTTAACTCCAGACACCAACAGTCTCTAAGTGGGCCTCTGTTGCCACATCTGTAAAATGGGCTAATGGATGGTGCATGCCCAGTGGGCAGTGCCTGGCACAGGGAAGGACTCAGGATAATTGCAATATTTCCAATGAGCATCTGGCACCCTACTTCTGTCCCCTCCAGTCCCTCATAAGGATCTGGGGGAGCAGAGATCCTGGATGTTACCCTCTCCACTACCTGTGTTTGCCATGGAGCGGCTGTGTTAGCAGGTTCCAGGCCATGGACACCCCTGTGTTTCCCTGTTCCAGCCAAGGCGGCCTGGAGGAAACACCTGCAAACAGCCCCATCCGGCCAGATCTCACCCCTGGATGACATGACCACATCATGCCACATATGTCAAGGTGATGTTAGTGACGTTTGGATGACATGTCAGCAGCCTGCCATATACTGATGATACCTTAAGGACATGCAATTTGCTGCTACATGCTAAGGACACGGCTGTGACATGCTAATATGACAGCCACCCCTCATGTCAGGCCCTGTTACAAGTACTGTACGTGTATCAACTCATGCTTCAAAACAACCTCAGAAACGGATGCTGTTATTATACACACTTTACAGATGGGGAAACTGAGGCACGGGATGTGGAATCCCTTTCCGACTGTCACATGCGTCAGTGGCAGAGCGGAATTTAAAGCCAGGCCCCTGTGCCTAATGCTACCAGGCTGTCAGGGTTCCTCACCCTCAGCACTGTCGACATCAAGGCTGGATAATTCTTCCTGGCTGGAGTCTCTGCTGGGCCTCCTCGGACTTTAAGCAGCATGTCCAGCCTCTATCTACTAGGTGCCCAAAGCACTCCCTTAGTCTCGCCAAACAGAAATGTCTCCAGACATTGCCAAATGTCCCTGGGGAGGGGAGTGGTGGTTTGCGAACCACTGGGTTCAACCAATATGCTACGGGCAAGGTGACTAAAATGCATAGAATGAGCTAACAATTAGCTCCTGCTATACTGTATTCCAAGTGCACTGGGTCTGTTAACTCATTCCTCACAACAGCCTTCTGAGATGGGGTCTGTATGAGGCACAGAGAGGTGCAGCCGACGGCCTGGCGTTACACAGCGCGAGAGTGACGCAGTCAGGACTCGAACGCGCAGATTCCGGGATCCTGCCCACGCTGAGCGGCCCCCCGCCAACCCCCAGCGGGGCCACAGGTCGCTACTGCGCAAGTGAGAACCCGCGCCTTGGCGGAGTAGGCGGCTGGCGCCCCCTGGCGGCCCAGGAGGGGCGAGGGCGGAGGCGGGGCCTGGCGGGGTCCGGCCGGCGGTGACGCGAAGCGCTGACTCACTCGGCTCCGCCCCCGGCCCGCGGCCGCTTGGCCATTTATAGAATCCGCGCGGACTCTGAAGTCACGGCCCAGGCACGACGGGGGCGGGGTGGGGGCGCTCTTGGCGCGTCCCCCGACGGGGCAGCCCGGGGTCTCCCTAGGGGGTGGCCCTTTCTGAGTCTGTCGTGTCCCTCGGATTCTAAGTCTGTGTCTGCATCTCTTGCTCTGGCTCTTGGTTGCAATAAGCCTCTCTCTGCCTTGCCTAGTCTTTTTCTGACTTTGTCTATGAATCCGCCTGTCTCACTGTCTATCTCTGTTCCCCTGTCTCTCTCCATTATCTCTCCATCTCTGGGTCTCTGTTTCACCTCTCTAAGTCGTTGTTTTTCTCACTCGATGTCTCTCCGTCGTTTCTGTCTTTCTGTGTCTCTGTCTGGTTGATAGGGGTGGAAGCAGAAGGAGAGGGCTGATCCCATCCGGAGGTCCCAACCCCTGGGAAACCCCCCCATTACTGGCTGCCCCGTGCGCAGTCCCCTACTTAGCTCCTATCTGGTGTTTCCCAGGCCCCAGCCTCTCTGTGCCTCAGTTTCCCATCTAAATGAAAGGTGGGATCTTGTAAGAAATGGAGTCTCCCCGAAAGGTCCAGGAGATCATGAAAGAAAAACGCTGCCCCACCTTATTTTTTGGAAACCCCTAAGACCTTCGTACCTCTCAGGGCCATCTAAAACACACACACACACACACTCACACACACTCTGTACTTGTGTGTCTCCAGGAGAGAGTCCCAACCCCCTTCCCCCCGCACCTGCCTGTCTGGGCAGCCCCACTCGGCCAGCCCCCTCTCACTTAGCTTCCCCCTCCTGAAAATAAGCAGGAGCTGTTGTTCATAATGGCTTCTGTGTCTGGAGGGCTCATTCCATGCCAGGCACTGTGCCAAGCACAACCATTTAATCCTCACTGCCACCTTCTTGGGGTGGAAACATGCAGGCCCATTTTATAGATAAGGAAACTCAAGGTTCAGAGAGACCAAGCCACTCTCCCAGGGCTACGCTGCCCCTGCTGCTCCCGCTGCCCCCAGATCCTTCCACATGAATTTCCTGAGCACCCAAACATGCTCCCACCTCAGGACCTTGGCACTAGCAAAGGACACATTTCCAAAAGATGCCTACATGGCCTCTCCCTCACTTCCTCTGCTCAAATGTCACCCGCTTTGGAGAGGCCCTCCCTGACCCAGACCTGCTCTAAGATGATAGCATCTCCCACCCCCAGGCTGACTGGGAGAGGATAGGCATGAGGGAACTATTCACTTAGTGTTTGCACCTGACAGTGGCTATGTCTGCCTCCATAAAAACTTTCACTTTAAAAAATCATTTTTAGGGGCGCCTGGGTGGCTCAGTTGTTAAGCGTCTGCCTTCGGCTCAGGTCATGATCCCAGGGTCCTGGGATCGAGCCCCACATCAGGCTCCCTGATCAGCAGGAAGCCGGCTTCTCCCTCTTCCACTCCCACTCCCCCTGCTTCTGTTCCCTCTCTCACTGTGTCTCTCTCTGTCAAATAAATAAAATCTTTTTTGAAAAAATCACTTTTTGGGGTGCCTGGGTGGCTCAGTTGGTTAAGCGACTGCCTTCGGCTCAGGTCATGATCCTGGAGTCCCGGGATCGAGTCCCGCATCGGGCTCCCTGCTCGGCAGGGAGTCTGCTTCTCCCTCTGACCCTCCTCCCTCTCATGCTCTCTGTCTCTCATTCTCTCTCTCTCAAATAAATAAATAAAATCTTCAAAAAAAAAAAAAGAAAAAATCACTTTTAGGTAGGGCACCTGGGTAGCTCAGTTGGTTAAGCATCTGCTCAGCAGGGAGCCCGCTTCTCCCTCTCCCTCTGCCGCTCCCCCTGCTTGTGCTCTGTCACGCTCTCTCTGTCAAATCAGTGAATAAAATCTTTAAAAATATATCATTTTAAAGCCCCCATTTATACCTGAAACTAATATAACATTGTATGTTAAGTGTATTTTAATGACAAAATAAAATAAATTTAAAAAACCCACCCACCACTCTCTATCTCCTTTCCAGGCTTTCTTCTTCTTATCATCTCCTATTTGCTTACATCTATCTCATCCTGTGAGAATAAAAGCTCCACAGAGGCTGGGCTTTGTGTGTTTTGTTCAGTGCTCTAGCTCCAGTGGCCAGAACAGTGCCTGCACCCAACAGGGGCTCAAAAAAAGCCTCCCCGGATAAACGGAATTAAAGTTGGTGAGCCAGGACTCGAACCACATCTTTCCCGAAATGTTGGTGTTTAACCACGCACAAAGGAAGGGCCTACTTTGCAGGCACTTCCTGGACTGACAGTTGAGCTGGGTGTCTCCTTTGTGTTTCCATTCCAACCTTCCCCTAAAAGACCAGTTGGAGGGTGGATAGCAGGATGGGCCACAGGCCGGGCTGGGGTTATGTAGGTCATTCCACACCTGCCCGCTCCCTTGTCCAGCCGTGAGCTTTGCAAGATGTTTTGTAGGAAAAACATATGGTTGAACAAGAGGAGCCTTTTTACAGATGTGTCCCGCTGACTGCCAGATGGGCAAAATTCAGAACACCTGACAACAGGTGGTGCTGGGGAAGCTGTGAGAATGGGGTGGGTGGGTGTGGGAAATTTGTGGATAGCTTTCAAAATGACAAGTGTCCTTACCTTTTCTGGTGGTTAATTTTATATATCAAGTTGATTGGGCCATGGGGTACCCAGATAGTTGGTCAAACATTACTCTGGGTGTGTCTGTGAGGGTATTGGGGGATGGGATTCATATTTGAATTTATAGCCAGTAAAACAGATTACCTTCCCCAATATGGATGGGCCTCACTCAATCAGTCAGAGGCCTGAATAGAACAGAAAGGCTGACCTTTTCTTTTCTTTTAAGATTTTATTTATTTGACAGAAAGAGAGAAAAAGAGAGAGGGAACACAAGCAGGGGGAATGGGAGAGGGAGAAACAGGCTCCCTGCTGAGGGAGCCCAATGCGGGACTCGATCCCAGGACCCTGAGATCCTGACCTGAGCCGAAGGCAGATGCTTAACAACTGAGCCACCCAGGTGCCCAAAGGCTGTCCTTTTCTGTCCGGTAAGAAGAAACTCATGGAATGCCTGGCTGGCTCAGTCAGTAGAGCATGTGACTCTTGATCTTGGGGTTATGAGTTTGAGTCCCACATTGGGTGTAGAAATTACTTAAAAATCCAATCTTTAGGGCTCCTGGGTGGCTCAGTCATTGAGTGTCTGCCTTCGGCTCAGGTCATGATCCCAGGGTCCTGGGATCGAGCCCCGCATGGGCTCCCTGC